AGATTTGTGGCCCCTGGAGAAGTGCTGTATTTAAAATTTAAATCAGATCATATCGATCTACTCAAAATCTTTTAATGCCCTCCTCCCCCCAAATTTAGGCTAAAAGCTATGTGTTCTACTATGGCCTAAAAATGCTCTGCTCAATCTGGCTTCTCAACTCCTATGGCCTTGCCCCTCACCATCACTCTTATCAATGCAGGTCTCTGGCTGCAGTATCTTATAGGTGAGAGTTAGGTGCTGTCTCTACCCACCCAACCCCTACTCAGTGTTTGGGTCTCAAGGTCAAGGTCATTTACCAAAATCTTCCCTGACCCCTAAGCTACATTAATCCCAATAATAATTAATTATAATAATAATTGGAGTAAACCTTAAATAACACTAGGTGGTAGGCAGGGTTCTAAATGTTTACATATAATAACTTATCTATATATAAAAAAGCCTAAGCGATTGTTACAACCAGTTGACCAAACGACCAGACTCTAGGATGTGCACTGACCACCAGGGGGCAAATGCTCAATGCAGGAGCTGCCCCCTGATGGTCAGTGCAGTTCCACAGCCAACCTCCCGTGGACCCCACCCATGCATGAATTCGTGCACCTTTAGTTTTAAATATTACAACAATCCTAATGGTACCAATATTAGTCCCATTTTTACAGGTGAAAAGGTGAGGCAATATTGTATTTTTCTTCATTACCATGATCAAAGGTGAAGTCATGTATTTATTCATTTAATATTTCCTGGGTTGTAGGCTCCTCAAGGTCAGAGTCTGAATTCATTCTCTCCTTCATTGTGTCCCCAGTGGCTCATACATAGTTGGCACTTAGTAAGTGTTTATCAAATAAATGAATCAGTCCTTAATGGACATGGATGAGACATACTTCTCTCAAGACTTGTACATTTTCTTACTAATTACAATAAAATGGATAGCTGAGAGAGGAATGGAAGGAAATTCTCTATTATCTAGTAATTATTTAGGCTGTAGAAAACTCAGTGCCCTTGTTTGCACTCATGTTGTGAAAAGCTCACCACCTCCTTTTCCGTCAGTTATAACAGCTGAGGTTTATAAGGGAGTGGAGGCAGGGGCAGTGTGGTCTAGACTAGAGGAAAGAGCATGAGTTTTCAAGAAACACAGATCTAGGTTTCAGTTCTGACTTTATCACTTACTAACTGTGTGGTCTTGAGTAAGCCCCATCCATCCCCTGAGCCTCCTTTTCTAACTCTGCAAAACAGGGACGATAATAGCTGCAAAACAGTGTAGTTGAGAGAATGAAGTGAGATAAAGTATCCAGAGGGCCTATCAGAGTGCTAGGAGTTGAAGAACTGCCGGCTCTTTTCCCCTCCTGCAGTCAGGGGCGGGCATGTAGGGCTCTGGAAAGCACCAGTTTACTAGACCAGCAGGACTAGCCAGACTGGACCCTGGAAATGTGAATCCCAAAGTACAACTGAGGGGGCAGGGGCAAAGACTGCAGGATCAGACCGGCTCCAGTTCAGAGAATCACCGAGGTCCCAGTTCACTCCATGCACACAGCCAAAGAGGGGGCTGGAAAAGTACACAAAACTCAGAGGGGTTATGCTTTTTGGTCATTGTCAACAAACTGGGAGTAAGTCAAGACAATAAACTAAGAAAAAGATCTGGTGAGTTCTGTTGCCTGTTCTCTAGTTCAAGGGACAGCCCCTGCATTGCTTCTCTTCTCTATGGTGGTGGAAGGCTGTTCCCTGAAATGCCCCTGGCTTCCGAGAACAGCTCTGGAGGCAACTCCATAAAGTCCTGGCCGGGGATGACCAGAAGCAAGCGAGCAGCATTCACCCTGCCCCCAGGATCATGTGGTCGTGGGGACGCAGGAGGCAGAAGAAGGAACTTAGATGGTCCTCTTCCTTCCTCTTTTATCTCCCAACGTCCATATCCATTCTTCTCTCAGTCAACCCTGACCTTTCCATCTCCCTCCCTCACAATAAAGAGGAGAAAAGTGGGTAGGTGGGGATGAGTGTGGCTTCCCTTCCCAGAAGTAATTGAGAGTGGGCATCAGAGTATTTCCCCAAAGAGGCAGAGACCTCTCTGAGGCTGACTCTGCTTGGGAGTAGGTTTTGCCTTCTCTCTAAAGAGAAGCTCTGTGTCAGCTCCTGCTGCTCCTCTCTGCTGAGCTCCCTGGGCTGAAAAACCTGTGGCTGTGCAGTGTGCCAAGCCCTGTATATTGCATTGAAGTACACGTGTAATGAGTGGCAAGGCTGTAATTATTATATCGTATAAAGTGAAGTCCTCTCAGGCTTTTGCAAAAGAAAACCCTCAGTTAACCAAGATCTAGTTTATCAGAATGCAAATGGGGCATTTTTATTTGCACTCTTACACTTGGTATCAGCTCCATTCTCCCTTCAGCTCCCTTAGATTTTCCTGTATGTCCTGGAGAATGCTACCTTCAGCTCCAAGTCTATTTCCGTATAAGCAGATTCTTACGGTTTCACGAAAAAATAATCTTAAAAGTAAAAGAAAGATTGCCTTCTAGTTTGTGTAACTATGGAAGGGAAATAGATCAGAACCTTTAGACAGACCTCACTGGGCTTTGTTTCAGTTCCCTGATGATACCAGCAGGCCGGGCTCTAAGATATCACACACTGACCACCTGCTATGTGCTGGGTGTGATGGGATGCATGTTGTATAACACAACTAATACCAATACTAACATTGACATTTTCTAAGTGCCAGGAGCTACTCTAGGTGCTTTACTAGTATATATGTTTGTATAGTTAAGCCTTACCACCAACACAGGAGATATGTACAGTTTCCATCCCAGTGTTGGAGATGATATAGTTGGGACATGGAGAGGTTAAGAAATTTGCTAAAGTCACATAGTGGTGGAGCTGGTATTTGAAAGAGGGAGTCTGGCTCCAGGGTCTTCACTCTTAACCACTATACACATAGCTTTTCGCATTTAGTCCTCACAGCAATCTTATGAGATAGGATACTAAAATGCCCACTTTTCAGATTAAAAAAAACGAGTCTCAGAGAAGTACCCTGTCTAAAGGATTGACTCAGGATTCCCAGCCCAATCCAATTCAACTCAATGCTAATTGAGTACCTACTTTGTGCCAGGCACTGTGATAGACACTAACAGCATCGGATAGTGTGATAAGCTAGTCATATTTAGTCTCTTTATGTCCCCCTCTCCCCATTTCTTTTAACACTGCCACTTCTTCCTGAAGGTTATCTATCTATCTATCTATCTATCTATCTATCATCATCTATAAAAGGCTAATATAAAAAGTGTCCCCTCGGCAGTTCGACTGGGAGATTGGGAGTTCGATTGCTTGCTATGATGTGCGCTGACCACCAGGGGGCAGCGTGGAACATGGTGGGCAACCAGCGGCAGTGGTGGGGCGCTGAGGGAGTGAGGGAAGGAGGAGGCCGGGAGGTGGGGAGGTAGGGAGGCAGGGAGGCGGGGAACCTGATTGGCCCTGCTCTCCGGCCAGGCCTAGGGACCCTACCCATGCACGAATTTTGTGCACCAGGCCTCTAGTAGATAATAAAGAGTTCATTTCAAGTGAAGAAAAGTCACATGTAGTCAAGATTAGCCAGGGATGTCAGTTCTGTGCACATGCTGAAGCACTAGAAGTTATTTAGACAAGCCTTAAAAAAAGTCTAACATAAGCCTCCATTCCTTTCCATTTCTGTTGTAGACATAGGCATGTGCTCATTTGAATTTATTCATTTAATAAACACTTATTGGGTATTGACTGTCTTCCAGGTCATATGCTATAAGTTGGAAACAAATTTTAAAAAGAGGGTTAGTACTAGGACTTGGGGCACTCTTACTGTAGAAAGAAATAAAATTAAACAAGTAAATACAGCATAATGTGACGAGTGCAATGATTAAGATAAGAATTAAGATAATAGTCAAGAGTAATTTTGGATGCATTGCAGGGAACACACCCAGAAGATGACAAACACGCTGAGTCTTGAGGTATAAAAGAATGCACTTTCCAGATGAAAATTGTTAAAGGAACTAGTATTTCCTAAGCAGATACTACACATCAGGCCCTAGATGGAGACTATATATTTAGTTAAATCCTGACTCCAGAATCCGAGGATCAGTGAATATAAAGAACTTGTTCACAGTGACAGTGTAAAAAAAAAAATCCCTGAGCTGAATATCTGAGCGGCATTTTTGGGAAAGAGCAGCCCAGGCAGAAGGAACAGCATGCACAACAGCAGGACAGCAAGACGAGCCTGGCACATCGGAGGGACAGGATGTTCAGTGCACCTCAGCCATCAGCTGTGCGCGGGGACAGGGATCAAGTGTGAGATGAGGACAAAGGAGGAATTAGGAGCAAAATTCTGGAGGACTTTGCATACCTGATAGGAAGTAGGGATCGTCTCCTGAAGGCAAAGGATAGCCAACTAAGAAACAAAATAAATCATCACTACAAGAATGGGCTGTGGGAAGGGAGGAGAGAGATAAAAGGGTGGATGATGAAGCCGCTGCCCAAAGCCAGGAATATGGGATAAGGAGCAGTGGTGAAGAGGGGCTGGGTGTGGGCCTCCAGATGAACCAAAAGGGGTTCCCAAAGGGGCCGGTTACCTGGAGTGTTTATATATACTTACTGGTAGGGAAGTGCAGAAGTGCAGGGAGTAAAGGAATAGGGGTTGGAAATGGAGATGCGTGCTAAAGCCCGCATGGCGGATTCTGGCAACCAGATTTGAAGAAAGCTGTCTATTCAAGCTGGCTTCTTAGCTCTGAGCCTGGGAGGCAGGAGTCCAGGTGTGCGGTGGATCTCCGGCTCTGACTCCTGGGGCTGCCCAGGTACATAGAGCTGTCAGGAACATCCAGAAAGAGGCAGCTGTTTCCCGAAGGCTCCCTCTGACACGCCTGGGAACTGCATGACCGGGCTTGAGGCAGGCACAGCACGGGTTTGGGAGGACACAGGCACGTGGGCAGCCTCCTGCCCGAGCTCTGCAGATGAGGCAGCTGAGAGAAGTGAATCTTTCTTCCCAGCCTCCTCCTCCACCCTCTGCTTCAGAGCCCTGGTGCCGCAGCACAGTGCAGGCTGCATAAAGGCTGATTCATAGACGAGGGGCTAAGCTATAAGCCACACAGAGGCGACAGAACAGACAAAACTGCGTGCTTGTGGGGTATGTGTGTGCGTGTGTGTGTTTGGAAGAAACTGTTTATTCCAGGAACTATATACCAAACACGCCTTACTGGCAGACAATAGTGATTTGCCTAGACAATTTATGCCACCAAATAAACATTTGAGATGGGCTGTGTAGAGCTAAAGGTAAGGAGCCTTTTTAAAAGTTGGGGTGTCACCCTTCTGCACATAAAACATTGAGGCAACTATATCTGGGCATCTGCCTGAGCCTACTGTAGCCAAAGAGAAAGAAAGGCCGGAACTAAAATGCAAAAGAAAGAAGGAAACTGTTTGGAGATAGGTCAGCTACAGTATAAACTTTTCCCTTTCTCTGGCTTACTGCTTTAGCAAAACCTGATGGTTGTCTTTGTAAAGAAAAAAAAAAAAAGTGTCTGTATCTAGGTCCCTGGCAGTGACTTGCCTCTGGGAGAGCCAGCAATCTATTTAATGACTCCATTGACGTCAATAGCATAACTGAAATACTTACTAACATGCATGATTCCAACTTTCAGGGGAGGGGGGTGGATGGGGTTTCTCAGCAGTACAAAAACATGAAGTGGAGTCAACACGGAACGAACTCCACTCTTTAGGCAGCAAGTGAGAGATTAGCTGCTGCAGGTCTCAGTGGTTTTATTTAATATGAAGAAACATTCAACCTAAATTTAGAAATTAATTTTGAACTGGTGAAATAACCGTTAATGAGCAGGGCTTTATTTTTGGCATGTTTGTTCGAGGGTAACATTTTAACTATTTGTATTTTAGTTGACTTGTCGATGTTTTTGCAACTACCCATGCTTAATTTTAGACATATATGAAATAATTGCAAATAAGTATAAATAGCTCAGTGTTGATGCTTTTGGGTAAACATTCACAAGTAGGTTATTTTAGACAAAAGCAATTCTTACAAAACAACCACTTGGGAATGATTCTCAGAATGACTGGGGCTCTTCTAGTGCACCTGCCTTATTGTTATGCATGCAAGTTGCCTAAACACTCAAGGTGACTAATTAAAGCAATTATACAAATAATTTAGGCCACAGGACCTTCAGATCAAGGAAGAAAAAAAATAATCTGATATTTCTAGATTTTTTTCTCTCTTTCTTTTTTGCAATCCCCTCCAATCCCTTTTCGTCTCTTTATCATGAGTGGCCACAGCCTTTGGTAACAGGATTGATTTTATTTGTATTTGTCCATAAGTTTTGCAATCCGGCCTGACAGTTCTTGCTTAATGCACAAACGAAGCAAGTGTCCTGCTCGCGCCCGGCTTCATTTCCAGGCATCTGACACAGCTCAGCTCTCAGGCCAGAGCTGCGGTTCTCAGAGGCCCTTCCCTTGTGCACACGGTTCATCTCTCATCCTCGGCCCAGCAGCTCTGAGAACTGAATCAGTGTCATGACTTTCTGAATTTCTCAGAATCCCAGATAACTCACTGAGCCCTTTGTCCACTCCTCTAACAGACCCTGCATCTGGCACACTCCCAGGAACTCCAGAGGAATAGTCACAATCAAGGTAAAGATACGGAAGGAACTCATACTGAACTCAGTCTGAGTTCCTTCCTAGGAGAAAGCCTCTTCTTCTGTTTTCTCAACCACTAAAGAGTCCTTTCCTCCCCAGAATGGCCTGGACACTTAATAGAAGAAATAGATTCCCATGAGCACTAAGAAAATTATTAAGTCTGTTTTTCACTTAAGCCAATCTATTTCAGACTCGCTGGGAAAGCCTTATAGCATCTTGTCCTATTTCTCCACACACAGGTTTTTCCTGAAATACAATGAATTGGCTGGAGTTGAAAACCACCATCAACCACAGCTTAGGATACACAGGCTGGTAGAGACCTTGGGTTTGCAGTAGTTTGATCTGAAGTCCTCAGGGTAATTCTCTCGTCATCTTTGTGACATGGTTTGCAATGTCCCATGGACTTATTGTTCTTCAGAGCAGCTGCTATGTTACATGGGTGGTGCTCTTGCTCAATATATTCATTGGTAAATTTTGAAATAAGAAAATTAGTACAGACCATCCCTCTTACACATCAATTCGGCTGCTGTGAGGTTGTATATATGACACATATTACAAAAGAGCTAGCCATTAAAGGGAGTGCTTCTCTAATCCTATGTCATGCGAAAAAAACATTCTGTAAAGGCAATGAACACTTGATAATTTACCGTTTCGGTAAATTCTCACTTTCAGGACACACCTATAATCTCTACTGAAATGCGAAAGCAAGGGCTAGACAGGATGGCTGCATGAAGTGGAGCAACTATCCTACACACACCCCCCACACACATACCACATACACACTTTCACACACTCACTCTCGTGCACACACACACATACTCACACTGATTTTCTTTAATTATCTGATTTTTTTTTTCTGTTGAAAGTAGTTTGGGAACCTGAAATATTGAGAATCAATTCAATTATCCATTTTGAGTGTGTATAGATGACAGAATCCATTTCTTGTGCCTTCTTTTGAAATGTTCTTTCTTCTGTTCTATTTTTCCCCCTTTCCCCCACTAAGCATCGTGTAGAGAAAGCCTGGAATTCATACTTGTGAAAAGGCAAAATGTGATAAAAATTGAGATGCTCATTAAACTCCACAGCCGGCAGCAAGACTTCTGCACCTTTCTCTTTAACTTGAGGGTGTAGGATTTCCACTTTGCTCTACTTTCTGGGTTTTAAATTCTTTCTTACTTTCTTCTGGCTTTCTTACTCAAAGTGCGAAATGCCAATTTTTTAGATTTAACTATTTTTTGCTTAAAACCTATGTGACCACACTAATATATTTAACAGTTATGAAGTGTATTTAAACCTCTTTTAACTTAAATTCAATAACTGACATTAAATAGTAAAAACACACACACACAACTGAATATTTTTCATAGCCATAGATATAAAAATATTGACTCATATTAAATTTTAACTTATAGCATTTTTCTTAAGATAAAGTACCCAAACTTTATGTTCAAGTCAACATATACTGTCTTCCTACTATGTGAAAATAGTAAAGCATATTGAATGATTCAGAAATGAATAAGGGACAGCCACTGCCTTCTAAAAGCTCCAATGGCCGAGACATATAAGCCATGAAGTACAGAATATCTTAGATGGAATTGTTGCCAAAGCACACAAAGGGAGTGAGTACAGCAATTTTCTAAAAAAATTAGGATCTCCTAGCGAAGGAGGGACATTTGTGTTGGACCACGAGAGCTAAAAAGGATAATTTTGGTTAAACAGTAAAAAGAAAAGTACTGCAGACTGAGAAATTCGCTTTAATTTCCCCCAAGAATTATCCTAGTTAATGATCAATTTGTAAGAGCAAATGTACCAATTTAACCAGGGTTTCTGACAATTAGTTTTTAAAATGAATTGTACTGCCTTCACTTAGATGCATTTAAAAATGCCTTTGAAAGAGAATTGCCTTTTCTCTCTTTCTCCCTCTCTGTCTCTTTATATAAGAATACAGTTATTTCAGGCTTTCCTAACAAAGTGGATTATTGCTAAAACTGAGTAAATTATTGTGTTTCCTGTATCTTTTATCTCAGATCTCAATTCAAATATGTGAGAATTCAGTGCTGATAAATCAACGCCTGATCTGACTATCATGAAAAATCACCTTTTAAAGCAGCACTCGACATTTCAGGGCTGTTTGCTCCAAGCCACTTATTTTTCATTCTCCTTCAAAGTTTCTATTTAAACACACCTCTTTGTCATATGCTGATAAATATTAAAATAACAGGAAAAATCTGCCTGACTCGTTTAAGCTGATAATAAGAACAAAACACAGGATGTCTGTGTGTGTCCTCCTTCCTTTTCTGACCGCATTTAAGCGTTACGATTTTGAAACCTATAATTATGTAATAATTGGGTACCACTATATTCTCTTCCCAACGAAAAGCCAGGATTTTTGAAGTTTGTCACAAAGACAGACAAAAACAAATTGCCTAAGTGGTATTGTCATTTCTTTGCTCCATTGTTTTAGGAGAACTCAGCAAAAGACTTTAGTTGCCAAACTGGAGTTACTGTGCCAATAATCACAAAATGATCTTTCCAACAGCATCTCTGGTTAATGAGCTACTTTATAGGATAATAAATATCACATCTCTCCTAATGTTTGTCACTGTTTATCACCAAAGGAAGAAAACATAGTTTAAATGTTCAAACTGACTCAAAGTCAGGGCGCCCCTCCGTAAATTTGGCTAACAGAAATGTAAGCAAAGGAGTCTCACTGGTAGGCCAGAATGACGAAATGATAGTTTCAAAACCACCCCCTTTGATCTCCAAGTATGTAACACCAGTATTATGTTAAAACACTCTATCTAGTTTCTTTTTATAAACTTCTAAAGAAACAGTCCATCCGCTCCCCAGGTTCTTAAAGTCTGTGGATACAGTACTATTTCTTCTCTCTACTTCATACCATGGCGCTCTAGAGGTAAACTCTACCCAATCTCTTCGTTTTTCACTTTTATTCTTGCTCTCGATCTTTTTCTCATAAAAATATTTTTGAAGCGTATACCATAACCATTTCAGAAGCCAACACACCAACAGAACCTACTGCCTTTGTTCCCTCTTTTAAAAGTTGGGCGCTTGTGTTATTTCCATTCTCCTTGTGGCTATGATACCAGCAAGAGAACACAACAGTATATGCAGGAGGGAAGATCCTGCGTGTGAAGCGAAGGGAACAGCACTGCTGGCGCACAGAGGTGCACGAGGCGGCGGATGGTGTTAGGTGATCTTGATCTCACCATGAGCTCATCTCACTTGCTTCTCCTGTGGTCTTACTCAAGACCCCTGCCATGCTACTGAGGTCAGTCGAGGGGCAAAACTCCATTTTGCACTTTAAAAAATGTCACCTAACTGGTTATGTCTTACGTCAACAAGAATTTAAGTTCAGTACATCTCCATGCTGTCCCTTCAAGATGGCCCTTCCTTTCCACACACAGCTCTCCACTCTACGTGAAACTCATTGGCGCAGCACTGAAAGATGAGAGGTTAGGTTTCTTTAAAACAACACCTGTGAGAAGGAAAATTGGACGACCTCCAAAAGAAATGATTTGTGACCTAGAGAGAGCCTTTGGTTTCACACCTGGAAGGAATGCATATTCAAAGGGGATCTATGGTTGACGCTAAGAGGAAGCCACTAGCATAGGCTGTGGGGCTCTCGGGTCAACGTGAGGGCACCTCAGGGCCTGTGAGGTCAGCTCTCCTGGAGTTCACTGGGGTCAGCAAGCTGAGGTCAAGTTGCACTATCAATACTGCTCTTCTGGGAAGCAGCGTTACCACTCTTCCACCACATTCTGGAAGTCTGGGCATACATCCGATGGGAAAACCATTTACTACTGCTTTTCACTCAGATTCACATGGAATGAGGTCAAGCTCCAGTATACTTTTCAAAAAGTCAGCAAGAGCTTTACTTTGGAGGGCCACGGTATGCAAACAAATGCTACCATTTCCCGAAAAGGTTCTGCATGAGAGGCACACTCGTTATTGTGAAACACGGAGAGAGGCATGGCGTGGCTTACCTTGCAGGTTGACTCTGGAGACAGGAGGCTGGCTAGCAGCTGGGGACCTCCTGTGGAGACAGAGAGAAAGGAAGACCTGAGTCTTTGTCTGAATATCCTCTCCCTGCCGCCCCAGGATCTCTGGGGAGTTTTCCAGGTCACAATGAGCTATCAAGTGACATAATGCTTTCTCCGGAAGGCAGGCTCCTGTAACATGCGTAAATGACTGCAATTCTCTCACATCCAGATGGCCTGGAATTTCCCTCTGCACAGCCTCCTGGGCGGCCAATACTCCAGGAAGGAAGTCCTTTACCCCAGGTCCCTCGCCAGCTCCTCTGTTTTCAGTTTCTCTGTTTCAGGAGGCCCGTAGGAGAGGATATCCTTGCTCAGGAATGGTTCCAAATGTAAGAGTGAATCCCAGCTCCTTCGGGCCGTGCCTTAGAAAGTTATAGCCAGAGGAGCCTTAGAGACCAATCAGTGCAGGCTTCCAGGTGTGCACCCAGGTCACACAGCTACCAGGAATGGTAATTCAGGTGGCTTAACTTATGGAGCGGCCTTTTCATGGAGAGACTGGGCACGATTCTACAGCATAACAAACCTGCTGATGTCAAGAGTCAAATGAAACAAGCAAACCAACTCATGGCCCACAAACACTGGGCCTGCTTCTCCTTTTCTTTCTTGTGTTTCTGTTTCTTCTTTATGCCCCCAGGACCCCCCGATTTTGCTGCTTTCACCATCCTTCTCATGTTTTCCAGAACTGCCAGACTCTCCCAATGCATTGCCGGAGAACCTCCCAGAAATAGAACAGAGCAATGGCTTTTAAAATGTAGAGTGCCGCCGTAACCGGTTTGGCTTAGTGGATAGAGCATCGGCCTGTGGACTGAAAGGCCCCGGGTTCGATTCTGGTCAAGGGCATGTACCTTGGTTGCAGGCACATCTCCATTGGGAAGTGTGCAGGAGGCAGCTGATCGATGTTTCTCTCTCATTGATGTTTCTAACTCTATCTCTCTTCCTTCCTCTCTGTAAAAAATCAATAAAATATATATTTTTTAAAAAATGTAGAATGCCTCGGATCCCCTGGAGGTCTGAGACATTGCTGGGTCTACCTCCAGGTTTCTGATTCAGTTGGCTGGGGGTGGGCTTGGGTTTGCATTTCTGACTAGTGCCCAAGTGCTAATGCTGCTGGTCTTGAATCACATTTTCAGAACCACTGGTACAGAGGACTCTGTCCCACTAAAGAGCAACAGGATATTAGCAAGGAGCAGGAGAGTGGGACTCTAGGCCAGTGGGTCTCTAAACATGGATGACGTCTGACTCACTTGGACAGCTGTAGAAATTATGAATCCCTTCCCTGTCCCTGGAGAGTCTACTTCAGTATGTCTGGGATGGCCATCTGTAATTTTTTACTTCTCTGTGAATTCTGATGCACAGGCAGGTGTTGGATTAAGGCCAACTTCTAAATGATAGTGAACGGATTGCAAAGGTATTGCGAAGGGAAGGTCTCCCTATAGGTGTGAACACATAGTTATTTTCCTAGTTTGTTATTAACTGCTCCAAATTCAGTTTTGGTCCCTTAGGGGTAATCTGGTTTCTAGGTAACTATACCTTATAGCTGCAGGGTCTGACGGACAGGGTTCACATCTATCACACTGATTAGCGAGGTGATCCTAGGAAAGGTGCTTTTAACCCCTCTGTGGCATGACTGGGATTCAAAGCGAAGTCTTTCAGAATCCAAAATGCATGCACTCTCATGGCTGCTAACACCTACACCAAAACTGAGGGCTGCTTTTCAGGAAAATTAAGAGATTAAATATCAAACTTTTTAAGCTGGCGTTCAAAGCTCTTTGCTCTTTGTTCTCAACATGCTTTTCCCAGTTTATCTCCCAGGATTCCTCCCTGCCTGACATTTCCTTTCAAACCATGCCATCTTGTACTTCACCTTAGTAGCTCTAAAACTGTAATTAAAATAGGCACTGTCCAATTAGTGTTCAACATAGAACACCTTAATTTAATGTAAACTTGATGCAGGCAGGGAACAACATGTTCACTACTGGATCCCTAAAACCCAGAGTGGTCTTTCTCAAGCACTCAGTAAATAGTTGTTGAATTAGTGAATGTATGAGTGGACTAACTCAGACATCCCCAAGGCCAAATGTCATCACTTCTTTGACCTTGGCCATGTGCTGTCCATCGTCCTGACACTGATCAGCCATTCCTCTGAGAAGAAAGCTCTCCCGGCACAAGCTCACACTTCTAAATACCATCTAGCCTTCTCTGGTGTATAGGAAGAAATATAAATTTGGTGGTCTTCCTCCTGTTGCCCCCTGGAATTTCCTAAATGAGAAGCTTGACAAAAGTGTCTTTTGTTATGTTAATGAGACGACTTTTAGAAAATCCCTGAGACTGGATGTCAGAGGAACCAATCTTGTGATTTGAGAGTTGGAACTTTCAGCCCTGCCCTGGACTTCAGGGGAAGGGAAAGGGGCTTGGCGATTGTGTTCAGTCACCAATGGCCAAGGATTTACTCAATCATGCCTTCGCACTGAAGTCTTCATAAAACCCCAAAGGCACTGGGTTGGTGAACATGTGGAGACTGTCAGGCTCAGAGAGCATGGGAGCTCTGTGCTCCTTCCCACATACCTTGTCCTACGCAGGTTTTCCCATCTGGCTATTCCCATCTGGCTATATCCTTTTCGAATAAACCAGTAATCTAGAAAGTAAAGTTTTTTTTTGTGTGTGAGGCATTTTAACAAATTAACCAAACCCAAAGAGGGAGTGATTGGAACCCTGGATCTACAGCCACTAGGTCAGAAGCACAGGTAACAACCTGGATTTGTGATTGGCATCTGAAATGTGGGATAGAGGCAGTTTGGAGGACTAAGCCCTTAACTTGTAGGATCTGACACTATCTCCAGGTAAATAGCGTCAGAACTGAGTTGAATAATGGGATGCCCAGCTGGTTTCATGGAGAATTGCTCTGATGTATGGGGAGAAAAACCCATACAACAAAAACTGGTGTCAGAATCATACTTCCAAAGATCAAATGCCAGGATTAGGAACGCTGTCTTCTTATTCATAGTTCTGTTCTTTCTCCACTGTGCTATTCAGGGCTTTCATCCTCTTGGCTAAAAACGATCTTCCCTCTAATCTGCCATGGTGCTTTATTTGTATCTTTAGGGTGATTTCCTCGTATGACAACTCATATGAGCACATATTATTCCCACCACTAATAATCAATGGCCCACTGATGGCAGGATCCACATGAATGTTTTACCTGCTTTCTTTTTCCTGTATATTCTTGGTTCTACATACCACTGGCTCTTTCTCATATACAGCCTGCACTCATGTTGTTGGGCTCTTGCGTATGTTTAGATCAGCCGAACACTTTCCCCTCCTCGTTAAGTGGCAAACTCCTCATATTCCGGGCCTTCCCTCAGGCATCACCTCCTTGGAGGAGCCTTCCCTCCTGAGTTCAGTCTCTGTGCTACTTATAGTTCCCCATGCTCGCCCCACCAGAGCACTGATCATGCTAGATCACAATTCCCATTTTCCTAGCTATCTCCTCCGCTCACCTGTCAGACATTTAAGCAAAGACTGAATCTTGTTCATCTCTGTAACCTTGAAATCAGCAAAATATTAGGCATGATGTAGGTATTCATTATATACTCATTAGATTAATATATGTTTATAATAATTTTATTTTACCTATCTTCCTGAATTCCAAAGAAGGCTTTTGTAAAAGGGACGAACTAAAAGACCTTAAGTGTTGGAAATGTCTGCTTTCTTAATAGCATGGCTACTCATAGCACTGAATTCTCCCAATGACTTCTTGAAAATGACAGGAATTACATTAATTGCTTTGCCCTGGGAGTTAATTTAAAAACTATAGCTCTCACTCAGAGTTGCTAATTCTCATAAGCATCGGTGTGTCCCAGCGGTTCTCAACCTGTGGGCCGTGACCCCTTTGGGGGTCGAACGACCCTTTCACAGGGGTCGCCTAAGACCATCCTGCATATCAGATATTTACATTATGATTCATAACAGTAGCAAAATTACAGTTCTGAAGTAGCAACGAAAATAATTTTATGGTTGGGTCACAACATGAGGAACTGTATTAAAGGGTCACGGCATTAGGAAGGTTGAGAACCACAGGAAGCTGTGAAAAGGCAAGAGCCGGGCTTCTTTGGTTTATCCCTGAGACTCAGTACAAAGAAGTGGCTCAATGCATTTTAAATGAGTGAACGCGATACAGCTTAGATGGCTTCTGGAAGCTGCATGATGGCTTAGAAGACACGAGAGCGCCAATTAGAAAACAGCAAGCGCCAGAAGGAAATGGCATTGGCTGCTCAGTTTCCAGTGATCCCTAACTGATGGAAGAACCTTAAGAAGCGATATGCCTGAGTTGCTGAAGGCAGTGATATTAACAGGGGGGATAATGTGGCCCCAGCCATGAATACTCTGCAGCCCCGAATAGCACAGCGGAGAAAGAACTGAACTATGAATAAGCAGACAGGGTTCCTAATCCTGGCTCTGGCTCCTTCCAACTGCATGGCCAGAGGCAACCCACTGCACCTCTCAGTTTCTTCCCCACTTGGGGAGAGCCGGCAGCAGCTAACATTTACTGCGAATTTACAATGTGCCGGGTCCTGTGTGAGGGGTTTTACATACATTTCCTCACTTACGCTAAGGAAATTTGGCTAGGTTCTTTCCAACTCTGAATGTTCAAAATTTTATTATTCTCAGCTAATTTCAATCCCATGCCAAAGTACATAAGGCAATGAAAGAAACTTCAGATATACACTGAAAAAAAATTAAGTACTTATTAATTCTTTCTCAAAGATTGCATACATGCTGATTGAATTATGCCCTGGAAGAATGTTACTGCAGAGCTGTCCCATGATTTCCTGATAGCCACTGTAATATCTGGGAGGCTAGTGACACCGTTGAATCATGGGGACGCCTCTTTGCTCCCAGCTCTACCCGCTGGCCCCCAGACTGTTGAATGGCAGGCACTCTCACCCACACATGTGATTTCTCCACAGCCTGTTTGAAGGCAGTAAATGCTTTAGAAATACCTATCTAAATTAACAACTCCAATTGAAGGCCATATTTTCAAAATTAACTCCTGGGACAAAGGAAATGTAGGTTTTAATGTGAAGCCAAGAAACACAGGCCCAATCAAGCATTCCTCAGTGGAACATTTCATGGAAGTGCAAGGAAATCACCTCAAGAGGAACATTGAGACTTTCACCCTTTGGGTGGTCAAGCTCAGACAGACACTGGAATGCTTTCAGGCAGAGCAAAAGCCAAAAGATAAAGGAAATCTTGACTTATGAGAAGTAGAGTTCTGTGTGGGAGTTCCTTTTCATATAATAAACCACACTCCAGAATCTCATGAAAACCACTCCAAAGACACATTATTGCTTAAATGTTACACTGAAGGCAGGGGGTAGCACTCTGGAACCCAAGTCAAATACCCCAGAGAGCAATTTCTGAGTTCCATGAATCTTACGTGTTCAGTTGTTAGGATAAGTATATCTGTGGGGCAAGGGGGTCGGGGAACGCTCAGGACAGTGGACCTATCCCTGGTGGATATTAGGTTTTCTTTATCTGTTTGAGAATATTGACTATCTAAGAATAGAACATAATGCATTATGGACTCTGCATTGAACTTCTGTTGGTTGATGTTGATTTCAAGGAGGTACTTGAAATCAATGAAACAATCAACTCTGTACAAATATGGGTATGGATTCAAGAAAGATCATTCACAAAGATCGTACAGCTGGAAATCTATTTTATTCAGTGAGTGTGGTTTCGTTGGAACCCAAGATGATACAAAGGGCCATGATTTTTTTTTTTTTTGGGGGGGGGTGGTCCTCAGTCAGAGAATGAGCCCTTGGTGAGCTCTGAATATGGCAATTTCAGTCTCAGGGTACTCAGTTCCTGAAGGTTTATGTGGCCCCAAACACCCAAGACTATAGAAAGATCTGATTCTCAAGAAAGTAGTTTCAGCTGACATAGTCTATTAGTCAGCAATGTTTATGCTCATTGGTAGGCTATGAACAATACTAAGAACATCTAAGCTCCGTGCTAACAAACTAGTAACTAAAAATCAAACATCCCTCTGATACCGTACTCTGATCCCCCCCCTCCCCGCCCCTCCACCCGCCCAGCCCTAATGCCTTGGAGCTATTTAATGTAGTGATCTTGAGTTATGATCTGCTAGGAAGCCTTTGGGAAGTGTATTTATTGATTCCTTCTTCCCCAATTCCAACTTCATCATCTTGGTCCAGGGCTTCACTCATAGTTTAATTCCTGAAAACACTCTCACAGCTCAGGTCTCTGACCTCAAGCTCTCTGACCTTCACCTATTTGTAAGTTCTTCTTAAATGACTCTCTGTTCCAAAGCCTTCAGAAATTTTTTCTCATAACCCACAAGACTTCACAGGGGTAGTGAATGGAAAGACCACTGCAATGAGAGTCAGGATATCAGGTTTCAAGTATGACTCTGCTATTCACGAGAAGTGGTATGTTCTTGCACAAGTCATTTAATCTCCCCAAGCTTTGTTTCTTTATCCACAGAGTGGGGGCAACAGTATCTGTCATGAATTTCATTTATGGTGATTGAAACTGAGATAATGAATGTGAAACCCTATAGTGTTACTTTATTTCTGGAATTTGGGAGAGAAATGTAACTATCCTGTATAATAAAAGCATAGTATGCAAATTGTCCCTTCGACTGCGAGTTGTCTGGGAGTTTGAATAGGGGGCGGGGCGAGCCAGGGGAAGGGAGGAAGTACCCAACCGGCAGCTGGCAGATGCACGGATTTCATGCGCTGGGCCTCTAGTCAATTATAACAGCTCATATTTATTAAGCATCTACTATGTGATGTTATAAATGCTTTACAAGTGTCAACTCATTTAATCCTCAGAACAACACTATTTTACTGACTGGGAAAGTGAAAGGTAGAGGTTCATTTGCCCAAGTCACATCATTTTCAAGCCATAGAATTGGGTTCTAAAGCCAGTAAGTATGGCCCCAGAGGCTGTGTTCTAAAAAGAAAAAAAAGGTAGAAAAAGAAAAGGCATCACTTCTGAAAAAGTAATTTTCTAAATAATTGGTGGTCTTTCTCAGATAATTATTTAGTGAGAACTCATATGTATGATAAATATTTATAAGGCACTCACTATGTGTCAGGCATTCTGCTAATTCTTGGAAATTCAAGAAAAAGTAATTGTAATTCTCAAGGGGCACATTGTCCAGTGGTGGACAGAGATCCATAAGTGGTATGATAAGGTTTGCAGAGTGTTCTGGGAACACTGAGGGGTGCTCAGCCTGGCTTGGTGGGGTCAGGGAGAGCACCCTGGCGAAGGTGATTCTAGAGACAAGCTATAAAAACCAAGCAGGACTTAGCTAGACAATCTCTGGCAGGAAGAGAGAGAGATTTTAGGAAGAGAGAACAGTAGGCCAGAATCAGGGTGGAGAACAGAACATGAAGAGAACAAGCAGACCATAATTGTTAGAATGTGATCCCATGTGATCCCAACAGCCAGATCCCACCTGTTCTCACTGTTCTCCACGGTATGACTTCCTACTACAATGAAAGCCCTGAAGGGGCAGAGAACTTGCATGTTTTGATGTCACTATTGTGTCACCAATGACTTGTACAAAGTGGGTCCTTAATAAA